ACTTACGAGAAAAAGCACCCCTAAAAATAGGTAGGGGTTTTGAGACTTGAGCGGCACACCACCGGCCAAACCAAATGTAATGCCCCCCCCCCCCCCCGACCCGGGCTTGGTAGTATGTTCTGAGGGAGTGAATTTGGTGGAGGCTGGCGTAGGAGGGAGTTGCAGCGGCCACCAAACATGAGAGGCATTGTTTTGATACCAGATTCCTCTATTAGTTCCTTTGACCAGGGAGGTGTTTTCCTGCTTTGACTGACTTGGTAGCAGGAAAGTATTAGCACAGGATTCCAAAGTGAGGTTGCATTTCTCAAGCTTCTGCAAGACTGCTTTCGTTCCTATTCCGAATATCCGGGAAGTCAAAATCGGTGTAGGCATCCAGAAAAAGTAGTTGTGAGCACAGATCCCATACCCAGGTCCACTTTCAAATGCTTACAGTTCTACACTTTCGGAGCCTTGGCTACATTGTAAGAGTGGAAGTATAGTTCCCTGCTATCAGTTCTAAGGAATTTGCGAAGTCCAGTACCTTTCATCAGGGTACCAATTGCTTCCAGCAAATTCATGATGGTCTAGAAGCAACCTAATTGCAAGTCAATCCCTTTTAGTGGGCTATTCTGGAGTACATCAATGATTATAGCTCAGCGGCCTTCCAATATGCTGTTTTCATAGTCTCGTTCAAAAGGAAACACAAAGCTACGACTCTGGTGGAGATTTTGAAAGTAAAAATTGTACCTAAACAAACCATAAATGCTGCTTTGCTTTGCTGTTTCAACGGTTCCAGGTATTTAAAAAAAACAAGGGAAGTTGAAATAGCAGAGGTGATGAGTTTTGAGCTCAGTCCGTTCCTACCTGCACTTTTCGAGGGGCTAGGAATGTCTTTCAGAAGGCTGAGAAGCCTCAGCTAGCTCATGCTATAACTGATCAGTGTCGAGTGAAGCCGTATAAGAACACAGAACAGTATGTCCTTGATGGTGGTTCCTTGGTGCATCGGATACCATGGAAGACAGGAGACAGCTATGGCAGAATAAAACGATCATATGCTAATTTCACACCCCCCCCCCCCACTATTTGGTTCTGCAAATGTAGTTTTTGACGGCTATGGTGGAGGGCCGTCAATTAATGATAATACACACCACAGCGATGTGGGCAGAATGCCCATCCAGTTGTCAGATTCAATGCAGACACAGTATTCTCAGGCAAGAAGGATGAGTGTTTATCAAGAGACTGCAATATTAAGCAGGGACCCATGAATCCATGAGAAACTGAGGAAGAGTAATTCCACCGTCATCAATGTATCCAGGGATTCAGATGTACATATTGCTAAAGCTGCAGTGAATTCTTCTCGTCCTCAAGGCTCCGAAGGTGTATATTAGGGACTTTTAGATTTGCGTGGACTGATACGTGTGACGTCCGTTCAAGGCAGTGCATTAAAAGAACGTCGACCTTAGCAATCCACATTGTCTTCGTGCAAATCTAAAAGTCCCTAATATTAAGCAGTTCAAAGTGGACCTGGGTAAAGATCTGTAGCGACTAATGTTACAGTGCATTCATTTATAATTCACTGGTATACATATTGTGTTTCTAATCCAAAATGGCCGCTTTAGAAGTCATTGAGAGTTCGAGGATTTGGTATTACGCCATGTCCTCAGAACTGGTTTTAACTCGATTTATTACTGCACGATGTTTATTCATTAGTATTTTGATCACATGACCAATTAACATAGATGTACGCGTATTTATTCATAAGTATTTAGATCACGTGCCTTATTAACATACATGTGCGCTTGTTTTGAACCAATCGCGCTGTAGTTGATTGGCGCTCTTCTGATTTTCCTGTGCGGGAATCAGTGAGCTGTTTTAATATTGGTATACACACATGCTGCTATTGTGTCGATTATTGTACCTAGAAAATTGTATCCAACGAGGATTGAACTACTACGTCCCCAGACCATTCCCGGTGGACGTGCTCACCTATTTACATCTTGTACGTTTTGCAAGATATATTTTGACTCTCTCGATGTTCAGCATTGACGACACTTTAATTCACCAGCAGTGAGAATAGAACATTTAATATGATCTAATGTTTTTCTCACCTGCATTATTGTTGGACAACCTTTTATCATCGACTTCATATGATATATATTGTCTCGACATTTGATTCTTCGACCTGCATCGCAAGTCACTGAAGTTGATCTATTGACATTGACTGCATCATCATTGTATTCATCTGTTAACTGATTCATCATCGTCTTCATCACCGTTGTCTCCATCATCGTCGACTTCATCATCGCTGTCTTCACCAGCGTCGTCTTCATCATTGTTGTCATCATCGTTGTCTTCAACATCGTCTTCATCGTCGTGGTATTCACCTAGCGTCGATCATCGTCTTCATATCCTACGCGATCGACAACCAGCTCATCGACCACTGTTTTCGACTAGCTAGTTTCTACATCTATCTAGAACTTGAAGAAGATCTACTCTGAATTCAACTCCAATGACTCACGTAACGTTAATTATATTGTGATTTATGCATTGCATTGTTTATCATTGTGATACCTTATTTTGACTGACTGAGTGCCTGTTGTTGAGTGCGTACGCTTACTAACACATATTTTACATGTTTATAATTGCACTAGTTCTAGGCCTATGCCTGGTCTACTGATCTAGATCTGCTATAGTCTAGATCCACCGATATATTGTTGTATTCTCGTGTTGTGCATTCCGTACACATACACAAGTAGAGATTTGTTTAGTGGTTTCTTGAACCACAATATTTCGTGCCTATGTAAGTAAATCTAAACGCTGTCTAGCTTAGATTTGAGTAGTATTTTCTTGACTGTTATTATTCATGCAGTGTGAATGATATTTAACTGACTTGTTTTAGTACTGTCTTAAGTTGTACTGAACAGGACTCCTGATATTTCGAGACTTGTATTAAGCGGTAATCATTAATACCATAGTGACTAAGTTGAGTCTCCTTTACATTAATGTGCTGTTGGAAGTTATCTATGTTTGATTATTAATAGTAACTACCAAGGGCCTAGTGATAGTTTAATTGTCTGTCACTGTTGAGATAGACAGAAGAGGTTTCTGATAATTCTGTAATCATTGTTTCTTATGTGAAATTATAGAATATAGAACCAGTTTTTAACCATAAGCAATTTGTCTGGATGTGATCATTTATTAAGTGTTTTCTTGTCTGGAGGGATACTGCTTTTTAGTAGTTTAATTAAAAAAGGGAATTATGTGGGATTACTAGTTAACACACAACATAGTCCATACCCCATGTAGTTTTCTAAAGATCTATGCTCACAACTACTTTTTCGACATGCCTACACTGGTTGTGATTCGACTTCCAGGATATTCGGAATCGGAAAGAGAGCAGTCTTCCATAAGCTTGTGAAATGCAGCCCCACTTAAGAATCCAGTGCTAGTACTTTTCTTCTCCCAAGTCAGCCAAAAGAACTAATATAGGAACTTGGTATCAAAGCAATGTCTGTCATGTTTGGTTGCTGCTTTAATGACTCACTTGCATCATTACGAAACAACTTGTTCGTCAAGAAAATTGCCAATGCGACTCCCTCCTACGCCAGCCTCCGCCAAATTCCACTCCCTCAAAACATACTACCAAGTCATAGCATGGATGGAGAGTGAATTAAAAGACATGGACGCCACAGACTGGTGCTGGAAATTAGAGGACAATCACCTGGTTCCAGTGATGTTGAATAGGAAGGATGTACCTAGTAATCTTCTTATGTTGATTCATTGCAACTGCTGTACTGCTTGTAGCACACCTCGCTGTACCTGCAGATGTTACGGACTACCATGCACCAGTGTGTGTGGACCTTGCCAACTTGATGTATGCCATAATCCCTAGAACGAGTCACTTGATAGTGAAGCAATAGATGATTTATTCTTACTCAAGTACATTTCTCGTCAAAATGAAGGTACATGAAGATCTGCATGTGTATTCGCTATAAGATGACATGAACAACACGAGGTTTTAACATTTTTATTCGTATGGTGGGTGGGTATTATGAATGTGTGTCTAGATATTATTATTAAGTTGTACTTTGTCTTTGTCACTCCCCCCTCCCTCAGTGTTGACAATGACCTGTCAATAGTTGAATTGAACTTTTTTGTGGGGGTGGGGGTGGGGGGGGGGGGGGGTCGTTGACACCATAAGGGTGAGAGAGTTAATTTCCTGTTTATAAAGTGCGCCCTCTTTTGAGAAATCTTAGTGGTTTGTGGCCCTTTGGACGCCATATTGGATGGTTTCCTGAACCACTGCTTAACGTTCTTACTTATCCTAATGCATTCTATGACCCCGAAAACCATAGCATAGACATCCCAGTTATGTCTCTCGGATGAATAATAAGTGACGTATGGCCTTTTTTATGTTATGGCGGCCATTTTGGACGCCATATTGGACGCCACATTGGATTTCGTGGTTTCCTGAACCACTGCTTAATTTTCTAACTTATCCTAATGGATTCTATGACCCCGAAAACCATAGCATAGACACCCAAGTTATGTCTCTAGGATGGATAATAAGTGACTTATTTTTATGTTATGGCGGCCATTTTGGACGCCATCTTAGATATTGGGTTTCCTAGACCATCACAAACCATTCTTACTTGTCTCAATGGATTCTCTGACCCCTGAAACCATGGGATAGACACCAAAATTATGTGTCTAGGGTGGATAATAAGTGATTTATGGACAATTTTAGGTATCGGCGGCCATCTTGGACGCCATCTTGAAAATAACCGCTTTCTGAAGCTTCGATTTTGGTATACCTTTATTATGTTATTCCTGAGGTTGAATACTACTAGAAACCGTTGAAAAACCTTTTGTTGCAATTTTGTGGGGGTCAAACCATATATTGACCTGACTATGGAGAAACTGGATAAATTTGTTTTATTTTTCTTGTGGGAGTGCCTCTTTCTTTTCTTACGTTTTTTTCTTTTTTTTCTTTCTTGTCTTTAAACAAATATTTCTTACAGATTATTCAGCAACATATCTTGAGGAAGGTGAATCACATTTCATCTCATTACCATGGACCTACACAACACGATTGTATATCGCAACCATTCTACTAACAAACGCTACAAATGGATTTCGAGTTGTGTTCCAATATCTGTATCTCGAGTATGATGATGAAGTCCGAATAGGGACAGGTAAAGATCCGTCTGACATACAGTCTGGCATCACAACTATCCATGAATATAGAGACTATGCTCCTGATGATGTCTTTGTAGATACCAATGAGATGTGGTTTGCTGCAATAGGAGGGAGGCAATACAGTGGTATCCAGATGGATGTTGAGATCCTTTCCATTGACCTATCAAGTGAGTGTTGACTTAATTTTCTTTTAAAATATCAGTGAAATCTAAAGCTCTGTGTATTGAAGCAGTGCTAACTGGTACCAGTTATAAAATGAGAATTATTCAACACCGGTCGACTGATGAAGATAAACCATGTATTCAGTTTTACAAGAAAAAAATGGAATAAATGAGGTAAATTTTTGATGCACCTAATAACTAAAAGCGTATTTAATTATTAAATTTCCAAGCATAATGAGCTACTCATAAGTTATTTTCTCTCCATTTATCTCTTACCAGCCGTATTTACTTGTTCAAGCTCCAACATGAACGTGTCATCGACTGTCCTTTGCGATGGGCTTTACCACTGTGATTATTACGAGGATGAATTGGCATGCAGTAAGTCAAAGAAGAATTGATATTTAGTACTGCGTTTCTTATTAGTATGACAGGTTTTTGTTGTACTTGATGGTTTTATAGCATATATGTTATTGATAACTAATTCTATAATTGTTTGATCTCCGCCAATCAAATGCTTATAACAGTTATTATAACTTGTGATCAATAACAGGTTTTCATGAAATGGGTCCCAGGAACATGAACAGAGAATTGTTGGAATAATGGTGTTGAAATATGAAGCCATATATTTAGCATTCTCTCACAATTTTCTTCATTGCTTTATGTAATTAAGAAATAAGTCAACATCATTAGTTTCTTGCATTTTTATGGTCAACTTTCTTCATCATTTCTTTACTATTTCTCATCTAAGCTCGTCTACTAAAGATCAAAGTGTGTGGGGGGGGGGGGGGCATAATGGTCTTCACGTCACTTTTGAGGTGATTTTGTGCAGAATCTTCCGGATAAGACAGGATTTATTTTAGGATTGGGGAGAAGCACATCTTACCGGTCATGGTATTATTTTCTTTTAATTCAATTTTCTGTAGTATTGATGCACATTCCTTTAGGGTTATAGTAGGAAATTATCTGATCTTCAATTTCTACAGCAGCCTTTCATGATGTTGAATAGGAATATTTTTTTGTCATGCATTAAGCCTAAGATCTTGGGGAGGGGGTAGGTATTGGATTCCTTGGTGCGAGCTGCCAAAGCCATGGCAAATACTCTATTTTTGATCAGTTCGATAGTAGCTTGATATTAAAGGTGGTCATATGAGCTAGCTGTGCCACCTTTGTCATCAAAGCTATCAGATGTACCTTCTCTAGATACCTAATAAAATTTGGGGGATGTTCCCTCCCCCCCCCCACCACCCCCCCCCCCCCCCTGCCCAGCTATGCTGCCTTTCATTGTGGTGGTGGAAAAACAGTTCTTGTTACTGGACAGGGTGCTTGGCTTCTTTGAAACTAGATATTGCTCTTTAGCTAAAGGGCACAATGTGAAAACAGCAGTGGGAAATATAGAAATAAAGGGGGCACTTATCAAAGGGAAATTACATCAAAATAACAAGGAAAAATTATCATATTTGAAGAAAAAGAGGAAGGTGCACTTATTAGAAAAGGAAAATGAGAGTTCATAAGAAGGGAAAAGGGCACTTATATAAAACAATAGAGGCACCTGTCAAAGTGAAGAAAGGTGTGGCAATCAGATTTGGATAGGGGCAGTTATAAGAAAGTGGAACAGACATTTATTAGAAATAAAAAATGGACAATTATAATGAGGGATAAGGTCAGTTATCAAAAATGAAATGGGCCACCTATCAGAGCTGAAAAGGGTATCCTAATTCCTAAAAGGGGGCACTTATCAGAGATGAAAAGTGGCATTTTTTAGAAGGGAAACAGAGCATGTGTCACAGTAAAAGGGGCACTTTTGGGGTACTCGAAAAAGAGGGGGGGGGGGCAGCCACTGTATCATGTATAATTTTTTTTTGATAATAATAACAATAATAACAAAAATAATAATGATAATATATTGTTCTTCTATAGCGCAAGACTAGGTCCTGCTAATGCTTACTACAATTTACAGTTTATAACTTCTGAAAACACCTATAAAAAAGTTAAGTTTTAAGTACTTTCTTAACAACTTCAGCTTGTATCATAGAGCCTAGATATACTAGGAGAATATTCTTAAGTTTAAGGCTAGTGCAATATCACCCCAAAATGGAATTCTAAGGGGAAATATACCCCCATTTATAAGGGGCATCTTATATGAACACGTTTGTATTTGTAACGTCAAATCACAATTTTGTTCATGAGGTAGATGGGAGTAAAACCAACCTGGATTGTTGGTCTCTGTTTTGGGGAATTCTGACAGATAACCTTTTGGAAACGACCTAAATGGTCTAAGAAAATTAAAGGGGTCATATCGTATGGATGATATAGGGTATGGGGGGGGGGGGTAAGAAGCTCCAAGACTAGTCAGTGCGAGATCATGAAGCTTATCTAGCAACCTCTAGTTGAGGAACTGATCGGAATTATCTAAAGATGCAAGAGATAATGGTATTTCTTCTTTTGTTTAATCATTTCTTTCTTCTCTCATTAAAATCTTTCTTATAGGTGCTTCAGCAACATATCTTCCGGAAGGCGAATCACATTTCATTTCCTTGCCATACACCTCCACACCACGATTGTATAATGCTACCTTACTACAAACAAATGCTACAAATGGATTTCAAGTTGTGTTCCAATATTTGTATCTCGATTATGGGGATGAAACAGTCCAAGTAGGGACAGGTCACGATCCGTCTAACATACAGTCTGTCATCACAACTATCCATGGATACATCAGCGACACTCCTGATAATGTCTATGTAGGTACTGATGAGATGTGGATTGCTGTAATAGGAGGGAGGCAATACAGTGGAATACAGATGGATGTTCGTGTTACTGCCATTGATTTGCTGAGTGAGTCTAATTGCATCAATCAGACTTTACTTAAATGACATATGAATATCTAACATGTGTTGATCAACCTGTATTTATATAATATTGACTGGCCTTGAGGGGTATATCAGAAATATTGACCAAGCTCAGATCATATTGCCCCGAGTCGAAAGACGAGAGCAATATGGTCTTAGCGCAGTCAATATTTCTGATATCCCCCGAAAGTAAAGCCAGTCAATATTTTTATTGTTATCCAAATCAGACATCTGTAGCAAATACAGAAATCCACCATGACAATCTCAAGAACTGAACAAACTTTGTCAAACCAACACTGTGCGTCCAGTGCTTGACAAAATTTTCGGTACACTGCAAACAGTGTGTATTTGGTGTGATTATTACGTCACAATAGAGTGCGCGCAAAGTATGCAGGTTCTCGTACGCATTAGATGCGCAATGAAAATGCAACGCGGTCAATACAAGATGCCCGGATGCGAGACCGTGGAAAATACCAAGGTATATTTTCACTCGTCTCTAAACACAAAGTCAATACGCGCAGGGAGACCAAGGAAAATACAAAGAATATACCCCTCCGGTCCCACTGCTAGTGAAAACTAGGGCAATACGGTTTTGTAAATGACCAGCTCAGATGTCTGATACGGGTAATATTTTGGCGTTATTGTTAGACAGTGACATCGATAGATGTAAAATAGGACATGGGAAGTAGATTTCCACCAACTTTGATGACAATTACCCAGAAGAGCGTATGCTTTTCTGAAGGTTAAAAACTGCAATTCAAGATTTGCAGGGACATGAATCTCCAATAAGTTGGTATCCTACCTTCCACCTATGTCATCGGCCTTTCGTAACATTACTATTAAGTTAGGCTCCCTTCCATTAACTAGTATTAAAACTATTAACACAAAAGAGCATATGCAATAGTCTATGTGCAAGATCAATTGTAACTGAAAATGTATCAGTTGATCTCAATTGTCATAAAGGAACATAGATCAGGTTTACTATTATTTAGAGATTATGTTTAATATCAGAAGTAAGTAAATGCTCCTAAAACATCATCATTTTTCTGTTTTAGATTTCTTTCCTTGTTTGGGATCGAACATGAACGTGTCAGTGACGTTGGTTTGCGATGGATATTACAACTGTGACAATTATGAGGATGAATCATTATGTATATTATATATATCATACATTCCATCATCTACCAATATTAATTCTACGCTCTCAGCGATGTCTGCATTTCTAATAAAAATTATTGGCATAAAATAATTAATAGTTACATTTTCATCCTTTGAATAATTAACTGATCATTCTTAAACATTTATCAACAGGCCTTTAATACAAAATAAGATTTGCCTGAGACAGGTTCTGCTCTCACAAAACAGCTTGTCCAAGACGACATATCATATGTTATCATGAAATAACATAAACTAGCTGCTTGGTTATGCATATGAAGAAAAAAAAATTGATTATAATGAATAATATGAAAGTACAAAAAACAGGAGCAATGGATAATTATAGTATACTTGATTATGTTTTCTTTTCCTAGATACTGACGAATGCTCTGTGAATCCATCGACCTGTGATTCTGAAAATGGAATGTGTATGAACTCAGTCGGCTCTTACTTCTGTTCATGTAACCCCGGATATGAATTGAGCAATGATGGCATTACTTGCAATGGTAAGGATGGAATGTCAAATTAGTGTAACCTTTTAGTAACAACTTTTGAAAATGATATGATCCAGAATGCTGTGGATAACATGTTGTATATGATCTTGAAGTCTAAAAGACACTAGCAATTTAAATCCACTTCTGTACAGTACAGTACACTGTGCCAGTAATAATAAGCAGTTTATCTGAAATAGACATTGAACTTGCCAAATTAGCGATGGAGAGTGAAATTCATAATCACTATCTTCGTGTACAAATTGGCAGTATCTTGTACATTTTTCTTAGCTTTCATTCGATATCACACACTTTCATTTAACATCCATTTTTACTTTTTGACTCTATGAAAGAGTGGAGCGAGATACAAATGATTGTTGCCAATTAAAGAGGAAAGATGATTCATCTAGACCATTAGAAATTTTTGACTGCTATGGTCGAAAAAAATGTTTACTTTCCTAGATATTGAGGAATGCTCTGTGAATCCATCGACCTGTGATTCTGAAAATGGATTGTGTATGAACTCAGTGGGTTCTTACAGCTGTTCATGTAACCCTGGATATGAATTAAGCAATGATGGCATTACTTGCAATGTTAAGGATGTAATGTCAAATTAGTGAAACCTTTTAGTAACAACTTTTGAAAATGATATGATCCAGAATGCTGTGGATAACATGTTGTATATGATCTTGAAGTCTAAAAGACACTAGCAATTTAAATCCACTTCTGTACAGTACAGTACACTGTGCCAGTAATAATAAGCAATTTATCTGAAATAGACATTTAACTTGCCAAATTAGCGATGGAGAGTGAAATTCATAATCACTATCTTCGTGTACAAATTGGCAGTATCTCGTACATTTTTCTTAGCTTTCATTCGATATTACATACTTTCATTTAACATCCGTTTTTGCTTATTGACCCTATGAAAGAGTGGAGATACAAATAATTGTTGCCAATTAAATAGGAAAACTGATTCGTCTAGACCATTAGAAATTCTTGACTGCTATGGTCGAAAAAATGTTTATCTTTCCTAGATATTGAGGAATGCTTTGTGAATCCATCGGTCTGTGATTCTGAAAATGGAATATGTATGAACTCAGCCGGCTCTTACATCTGTTCATGTAACCCTGGATATGAATTAAGCAATGATGGCATTAGTTGCAATGGTAAGGATGCAATGTCAAATTAGTGTCACCTTTTTATACTGACATTTTTAAAAATCTTTTGATCCAGAATGCTTTGAATTAAAATATAGAAATATATTTGATCATATTTGGATTCTAATTTGTATAAATCAAATACCGTAGTATTTTGGTTTAACTCATAGCCTGCCATATGGCTGCATGCACGCTATCCGTTATGCTGCTTTGTCCATGCTAATTGGACTGTGCTGTGTATTTTGCACTCGCTATTCATAGAACCATCGCGTTAATCAGATTATCTCCAAAACAACCTGGCATGGGGGGATTCGGGGCTTTGGCACAATGGGGATTAGCCCTGTGGCATGGTAAGAGTTAAAGGAAACTAATGGTACTTGAAAATAAATAGAATCTTTAGCAAAAATGAACCTTGGGGAAAATATAATTATCATGGTCTTTCTCGCAACGGCTAACATTTGGAGCTCCCAAGTTGTCAGTGGTTAAATCTTTGCATTTTTTCTTTGAGATTACCCCTTCATATCTTAAAAGTAAATTAATCATAACAATATTTTTAGACAATGTTGCCCAGGAAACTGAGGAATAAACCTACAAACATTAATTTGTAAATTCTATGCTACTACAATTTTACTAAAACTTTGCTTTTGACAGGTAACACTGATCCTTGCACCCAACCAAATCTGTGTGTCAATGGTGACTGCAGTCCTATTGGACAAAGACAGTATGAGTGTGAATGCCAAGATCATTATGAGGGGATCTATTGTGATGAACCAACTCGTAAGTCATTTATTTGGATTTACTTTTAGATATGTGTCTTAAAGGTGTTACGTTATGCAAATCCACGATTCACAACGTTTCGTAAGACGGGTGAATACTGAGGAACTTAAACTTGGAAATCGATTCGACTCATTGTTTTGCCATCAGAAATAATGATCCACTTTTTATTTCTAGATAAGTAAATCAAATATCTTTTCATCATCTCTGGATATTAAAAAAAGTTTTTAGGGGGGAGCTTTTACTTATCTGTCTCACTATCTATTCAGGTGTAGAAAATGGATACATGTTAGGAATTTATTCCTTAAATGCTATTAGGGCCTTATAGCAAGTGTAGGGCTCATAATACTATTTTGTTGGTGTAATGTAGCTGTAATTATCATTTTTAGTAGAAGTAGTAGTAGTAGTAGAAGTAATAGCAGTAGTAGGGAATTGGTATTATTATTTTTCATTCAATGAAAAATATTATTATTATTATCATTATTAATATTTGTATTACTATCATTGGTATCATAATTATTTGAATTTGTATTCCTTTTCTTCTGATTCTTCATGTTATTATTATCATTGTTTTTGATTGTATTTGTTAATATTACTATTGTTATTATTAATATTATTATCATTATTACTACTATACTACTATGGTTGTCATCATTATTGATTTTTAAATTACCTCATTCACTGTCGTATGTTCAAATTCCCCTTGAAATGCAGTTCCTTTGGAGGTTTCTGTCCACCCGTCAAGCCAGATAGTCAACATCAATGCCAGAGTGGAGCTGACATGCACTTTCAACAATGTCAAGCGATACCACTGGTACAAAGATGATGTCCTTTTGCCCAACAGTGTAAACCAGAATCCTTTGATAATCGTGTCTGTCGCGCCCAGTAATATCGGGTATTACTTCTGCCGAGGCTCAGGAAGAAATGGAGAAACCTTAGACACGATGCCAGCATCTGTATATGTGAAAGGTAAAAGCTTTGCAATAGGCCAACAAAAGAAAAATAACCAGATTTAGGGTTATGTCTATCCTTCAATCAAGGTGACCTGTGTGTGTATGTGTGTGTGTTTGGGTTTTTACAGACATGTATCAATCAGATATGGTTGTTTACATCTGTGGACCGACCTTTAACGTCATCATCCGAAAGACGTGACTCCGTTTCGAACCTGCGTCCTCGGTTGAATCAGTTTGTTAGCTGGACCACAGGCACACGCCACAACGCCCAACAACGCCCCCTGTGTACTCTAGCCAGCTTTTATATGAGCCCTCCAAATGCATGGAATACCCTTGTTATTGCGAAAAGTTTCATGCAGGCAGCATGGAGCTTGCAGGCTTTGAATAAATACGTTATTAATGACTAAAACGTCCTCAGCATTAAATCTGTGTGGCCTGTGTAAATTGGCATTTGTCCCTAAACTTTGCAAATAATCATCAGGTTTTTTCTGTTCCGTTTTACATGATCTGATGAAGCTTCCCCCCCCCCCCCCCCTCACCCTCAGTTGTCTGTCATTTTTCTTCCTCATTTCCCTCCTCTTCTTCGGGCACTGGGAGGGGGGGTGTCCCCTGTGCCCTCCCCTCAATCTACCATTGATTCTTGTTATGTATGTTTGTATTTTCAGATCTGACCAATATAAAAGTTTTGAATGCTAGATTTGCCATTTCATTCCGCGATGAGCTTTATGACCAAACTTCTAAACTCTATGGAGAAACGGCGTTCAACATCAGCACCTTTGTAAGTATCCTCAACATTACTGGTGCATATTTGAGATGCCGATCCCGTTACAGTGATATTCTACAAGGCAAGGCCTAATATTGTTTTGGGTTTCAAATGTACAGTTTAATTCTAGAATGCGAGTACATTGTGAAACAACTTTCCTAGCAGCAATTGTTAAAGGCTGATTGCATGTACATGTAACATGAACATTATCAGCTATTCTCATCATTGTCTCACCTTTCGGTGGTACAGACTATACTACGCAACTGATCCGAAGGCACTCTTCCTCCATCGCCTGTAAAAAATGTCAAAGTTTACCTGCAAAATTAGACTCTGTCGTGACAAATATTATGGTGCTGTCGAGGGTTGCATAATAATATAAGGTCAGAGCTTATTTTGTTGGCCTCTCCTGTGACAAATAACTTCGCAACTAGCGATAATATTTTCGATAACTTTGCAACTGTTTATTCTATTGTGACCATACTTGCTTCGTATCATTTTCGGTGTACCGGTTATAAGCTTTAAGTTTCTACTCTGAATACATGGTTCGTAGGTGCAACCAAACTTGAGTCAGTGATGCTCTTTTAAGACATTCATATAAATTTGGTCAGAGATGCGCGAGACACACGTGGTTTTTGCCTTTCAATTTAAATTTGATGAGTTGTGAACCATTAGAACCAGTATTTTCAAGGGAAAGTTTTTTTCTATGACATTTTTGCAACATGTCCAAACTGAGGCAACAAAATGTGTAAGCTCACAAATTACTTCTCACCTTTACCAATACTCAACCTTCTCTTTAATAATTGAAAAAAAATCATGATACACTTGTATCCAAGCAAAAGCAGCCCCAACATTTGAACAGCCACCCAAGTTCTTAAACAGCCACCCCAGTTCTTAAACAGCACCAGTTCATACAGATGATACAGATACTTTCACTCAGTTCTTGAAGTTTATTCAAACTGCAGTTCTACCACAAGTAAAATCAACTTACGAATTTCCGTTCTGACGTATACTTTAAGAAGTTACAAGAGAGTACCAGTCTTAAACAAGGACATATCTATTAAACGTTCTACCTTTTTTATTTGTTGTTTCTTACCTGTGTAAAGGTGGAGCAAGGCCTCCGTACCAGTACTGGGTTGGAGGATGTATCAGTAGTATGCAGAGCCCTAAGACCAGGAAGCGTCAAAGCTGACATGAATATCTTCATCGAGCCGACCAATATGACGGCACTGGAGACACAAAATCTTATCGGTCTTTCTCTTGAGAGTCTAGCCAATGAATCGAATGGTTTTCTCGATTCCAACACCATTTCAGTTCAAAATAACGGTACCAAGTTCTTTCATATACATATAGTTCTGAAAGTCAGTGTATATATATCCAGCATTGTGTATAAGGACATGGGGCACCCATAGAGGGATGTCGGGTAGGGGACGCGAAAAGCCAGGGGTCACAACGTATTTTGTCTCGCCTTTCTGTTTTTACTCATTGCAAGCATTTATTTCACATGGGCCTTCAAAGGGGGTAGAGCTATGCTGAATGCGCCACTGAACTGGCATGTGAATTTGGTACCCTAGGTATTTCGAAATGCAAGAGTGTTATACACACAAACACACCCACGCACGCACGCACACGTATGTGCATAATACTTATATAAGCTATATAGATATATACACATGTGTGCGCATGTGTGTGTGCGCGCACAAGGTCATTCAATTTTTGTGCTGCCTTGGCCCTTCATTTGATATATACTCCTTAATTATCATTCTTGGTTATAGTTATCAAAATCTATGCATTGAATGGAAGATTCAACGTGCAGAGAAAAGGTGACTTGTTTAACTTGCCAAGGCCCCATGTTTAAGACGAAAATGCAAGAAGGCAACTACAAACACTTGACCAGGCGCCTTGTTAAGGCCTAAAACTAGCTAAGGCTCCTTATTTAAATCGAGAAGGCGACTAGATCGCCTTCTCGGTTAGAACAAGGCGGTTTTTTGAGTTGTTAAGACACGCCCTCTCTTTCACGACTATAACATGGCGCCTTGGCGAGTTCAACAAGTTGCTTTCTTGCTACACGTTTAAGAATCCTTAACATTTGGCACCTCTTAGTAAAAATGAATATCTGCACATTTCTCAGCAATAGTTTTATTGTAGATAAACAAAAATTGAATTGAATTTTGTTCAAGCTTTTTTTTCTTTTTAATGCTTTTTTAAAATTTCTTTTTGTGAAGCTATTTGCCAGAATATCTCATGGATTTCTCCTCGGTTTGAAAGAGTCGAATTTCCAGTGGGTGAAAATGGAACATGGGCCAATTCAACAGGAATGTGTCCTTTCAACACTACTCAAGGTTGGTTTTGATGGTCATTCATTTTTTATTTGAGGAAGTGGACGAGGCATGTGGCATGTGGCAAGTTTGTTATGGTTACACCCGGGTTATATATTAGGCTTATCGAAAAAGAACAACGAGGGATATTCTGCAGTCGTTATTTCACTGCTGCTTTATTTTCCACTTTCCCAGTCTAAATTTATTTACCTTTCGGCCCCAAATTGTTAATTTTCCCCGATTATTGCCGAAGGAAGACGGGGGGGGGGGGGGGGGGGTATTTTTTCTACTCGGGTACGGTGACCCGGCTGCTCTCCCCCTTCCTCTTATATTATGCTTTGCTATATATCCTTCCGAACAGTGGTCAATGCCTAGGCAGAGCAGGCAGACTAATGGGACATGGTTTCTACTCCGAGTTTCGCGCCTTGCAAGCAATCATCAGGCAATTGATAGCATTCTTAAAAGTACATGATTATCCTACAACCTTGGTACAAATACCCCTAAAATAAGACTTAACTAATAAAATACAATTAGAATTACTCATGAGTAATTCTTATTATATTGTATTCAGGTATTGTATTAGTTAAGTCTTATTTTGAGCGTATTTGTACCAAGGTTGCAGAGGAATCATGTACTTTGAAGAATGCTATCAGTTGTCTGATGATCGCTTGCAAGGCGTGAAACTCGGAGTAGCAACTATGCATGTCCCATTAGTCTGCCTTATTCAATATTTATACCGGTATATTATGCTTTTGTAAAAGCAAATGGTACTGGTACATTAAGCAAACTTCAGGGGAAAAAGATTTCTAAAATCGAGAAGTTTGGCCATGTTTTATAGGCTGAGTTGTCGCTCCATGGTGTAATTATTAAATGAAAAGAAAAGTCAGTACAGCCCCCAAAATAGGATCAGATATCTATGAACCTCCCCCCCCCCCCCCCCCCCCACTTCTCCTTCACTTTTGAAGATTTTTGGACATTTTAACTACGTGGCAATGACTACTATTATATGTAATTTTCAATAAATGCATATTTCCAACAACTCCACTTTCTTGTGGGCTTGGTATTTTGATACTCTGAAACAAAGCAGAAAGCCATGTTATCAATGCTAACCCATCACATTCCCGAAGTGCGCGCGTTGCAATAAAATATTGTCGATTACTATTGCGGTATAAAATAGTCTGGGAGAAAATCAATAAGCAGCTTTGTTACTCCGATACAAAGCAGAAAGCCGCCCATGTTACATCAATTAAAGAGAAGGTTGAGTTCTTGGGAAAGGTGAACAATAATTTGTGAGCGTTTGTTATCATTCTTATTATGCAAGTGTGGAAGAACATCAAAGAAAAAAGATATTCCCTGAAAATCTATTTCAAATGACTTCATAATTATCCCAGATATGACAAGTAACAGCTTTAAAATGAGGCCTGATTTGAATGCCATATGTTTGTGTAGTCCCATATCAATATCTTTCTGTGTACAGTGCTTGTTACTTTACCAAGACTGGGCCAAAGTTGTTATCATTTTGATGACTCCAAAACCTTGCACTACACACCAATACTTACATGTTTATGCTAGATGATCAACCTTTTCTGATTGCTTCCACACCGTTTCTTTCACAATGCAATCGCAAGACCAGAACTCAACTTTATCTTTAAATGCCAACCGCACCATCACATTCCAAAGGAGCGCGTGCTTTGCAGAGGTTCGGTTTAAGTTACATCGTTATTTATATAATGATGTGCAAAAAAGTTTATTGTGGATTACTATTGAGGTATAAATAGTCTTGGAGAACAGCAATGGGCATCAATTATTCCCTGGACATGAATGTATAGATATCAAAAAGGACAAACGACATGCGATGGAGGTAATTGCATCAAATAAGGGTGGAATGAAGGTCATTATGATTATGAGGGGCATATGTACACACAAGTATTTGAGGGCAAGGTGTCCATTCTTTGGAAGTGTGTGAGGCGTACACGTGGGTGCAAAGGAACCTTAAAAACAGATCTCAATCGGGCCCAACCGCACACAGCCAACCCACACAACCATGACGTTGACCTAATAGGAGCGGAGATGGCAAAAGCGCGGCAACAAATAAAGGCACGAGCCTCGATCACCAACGACACGCCCAAACAAATACATACGAATACGGTGAAAAATAGTGCTCACTACCCCTTCCCCCCCACTGAGCGACTTTTCGTCCGGTGCCATTTTCGGGAGCAAAAAAAAAAAGTTGGGCCCCCTCCCCTAAGAAATCCTGGATCCGCGCCTGATTGCCGGAAAGCTCAACTCTGGAGGTTAAGTTCGCAAAATTAATAAAGTTCCTTTCGACATGGGTGTGTATGGTGCCGGGGACTATTTTGACGCAATGTGTCATAGTGACACGCCCTTATAAGGGGTCACACGTGTCGGAGGGTTTAAAATGGCGATGAGCTTCTGAATCGAGACGGTATTTTACTTTTTGGAGCGGGTTTTTAGTTTTCGGAGCGAGTTTTCACTTTTCGGGCGACTTCTTGTTTTTTCTCATTTTTACTCCACTTCCTTTGCCGCCATGAGGTGCTAAAGCTTTAGCAGAGTTCGGGGCGCCCAGCCTATATATGTAACTTTTCGTGATTCCTCGTGATTATATGTAATTATTTGTACTAAATGTACTACTCACTTTAACACTTGACTTTTGTCAAGAACTTTCATTTCTTCGTTTGGACTTTGTTCGTCTCTGGAACGTTACACGGGCTAGGTTGTAGGCTGGCACCGGCCAAACCGGTCCGTTTCACAAACATTAACACATCAACCAATTCAAAATTTCAAAAAATGTTAGACATTCATACATAATATATATGCAAGCCTGATCACAAACAATTAAATTTCAAAATCTATTTTCCACATTGTATTATCCTCAGGACATGTACGAAATACAACACAGCCATTTATAACATTTACATTATGGAACAAAGGAATATAATAGACTAGCCCATGCAGTAACTGTACGTCTTGACATTCTGTGTGATAAAAGTGCTGAGATATTATGACGGCACTCTTTTTTTTTGCTTGTACCTCTAACATTTTTACCTCTGACATTTTTACCTCTGACATTTTTACCTCTGACATTTTTTCCTCTGACATTTTTACCTCTGACATTTTACCTCTGACATTTTTACCTCTGACATTTTTACCTCTGACATTTTTACCTCTGACATTTTTACCTCTGACATTTTTACCTCTGACATTTTTACCTCTGACATTTTTTCCTCCGACATTTTTACCTCTGACATTTCTACCTGGCACCCTTTACTTTTACGTCTCCTTATTTCTTTGTGTATGGTAATAATTGTATGCCAGTGTTCTTTTGATATATATATATATATATATATATATATATATATATATATATATATATATAAATATGTGTATTTCCTTTTGTACCAAACAGCTAATGAACCCATTGGACGGGCTCTGTGTATCGGCGATGGTATTACCCAGAGCCAATGGCAACCTGTGGATAATTGCGGACCATTTAGAAATGTCACAGATATTCTCACTGAAATTGCACAGGTTTTTGGAATTTTCTTTTTTTAATTCGATCATTGAAAAGATGCTTTTTAATAACCTTCATATGTAATTCAATTGTAAATTGTAGATACCACTGATCATTACAACCTGAAGAAGAAAAAAAATATATAAAAAATAAAATATATGTATAAGATGACCTATCATTGCATAGATTTTACCCGATTTGGTACTTTAATTTTTTATACTAAGTATTGTGTACATTTGTACAGAGTATTGTGAAAAATTTTACACAATAAACATTCATGTTCCGTTCTTACTCAACATTTTATGTTACCTTAAGGAGTGAAAGTCGTATCACTCAACATATACATGCTGTAATTATATTTTCCCTTCGAATTTTAGGTAATTGTAGATGAAGAAAACGCAGGTGAGGTGAGCCATCAAATATCAGCTGTTACTTCCAACATCGAAGATATCACATCAGATGACATCTCGTTTGTGGCGCAGATAACATCCAACATTGTGCAGCTAAATCTTACTGGTGAAGAGGTATTCTGCACGATGCAAGACTAATCCTTTTGAATTTGAAGTTGCGATTGTTGATGAATTTTATTATGTTACGTTAATTGTCTAATGGGGAAGAAATTTGAGTCTTCCCTCTGATACATGTATGCAATTGTCAAATATGTGAAAGAAGGAAATCCCATAACCAGTTTTAACAATATTGGACGCATTAAAGCTAAACTACTGTGAATAGAGAATTGACTAGAGCCTTACCTCGTATCAAGCTCTTTTTTAAAATCATTTTGCATTATAATTTATTAGTTCTATGACTGATTGAGGCCTGTCACTGTCCTTTCATATATTTTGACCCCTTGGCAGTTGCTTCTTCCAGAAGTTGTGTAACAGCTTTAGAATAACAGCTGTGCTAAGGCTGTCATGTTATTTAATACCCTATCTTCATTCAGTTTGACTTTCAAGATTTGGCATTTTTCTCCTACTATAGTTTAAATCATCTTCATATTTTGTGTTTGAATTGACAGGTAACAGAGTCTATAACAAGTATTGTGAGCAATATAGCTCAGGTAGACACAGAGGAACTTGAAGCCGCAGAGGAAAATGGTGGGGCAATAAGTAAATTTGTCCAGGCTTTTGAGGAACAAATCAGTCGTGTTGAGGTTGCCGATGGTGAGATGCTCAACATTCAGCAGCCATATGTAGCCGTACAGGTGATTTTACATTGATATCGTAGGCTATGAAAAAATAGTTTGATTCAACCACTATAATATAGAATTTCATGTCCAAGTTATATAATTGTAGACATGGATATTCAAAATGAAAAGAATTGAAAAAACAAAACTGACACTGCCATTCGTCCATTATCGTCTCATTCTATCTGGTGTCCAACAAGGCGCGACACTTTCACCATATTTGTTTTCATTTAAAAAAAGATCTACCAAGCAACATCATTATTTGTGCACATTTTTAATTTGGGGGAAGCCTTACTTGAACGTCTGTGCATGGTGCTAATCGCCTCATTTTCAATCGTCATCAATAATGATGATTATAATAACTATAATAATTATGATAATGATAACAATGATAATAATAATATGAATAACAATTATAATTATAATAGTAATAGTGATAATAATGACAAAACTAATGGAAATATTTTATAATGATATTAATAATTTTAATAATAATTAGATTATTGATGATAGTGATGACAATAATACAAATAAAATCAATGATGATGATGATAATGATTACAATCTTCAATTTGTAAGGCTTGAAAGGCACTTGAAATCAAATACTCATGGTGTACTAGTGCGAAGGAGAAATCACAAAAAAGCATCTGCATTTTATACAAACTACAGAAAAATTAAATAAAAGGGAACAATTAATTATATTCCAATCCAAATAGAAACGATTTTAGATCAATTTTGAACACCTCAACTGATCTGCTTTCAAGGGAGAACATTTCACAGCAAAGGCTATGCATGAGCAAAGGTACCCTCCCCCAGTTCTATATTTTTAGATGATAATGATAATAATAATAACTAGAAATTTAATTCTTCATGGGGATGAATTAGGTGGACTGTCTTCACTTCTTATGATAGATTTGAGAATGGGAGAAATTATATAGACATATAAACAATGATGATCATGATGATCGCGATGATATTGCTTGCGAAAGACGGGAATGTAGAATCCAGTTGTGAGAAAAAGTCATGTCCCGTAGAGAATACACGCAAAATGTGAAAAATTGACATGCCTCCTTTAATCGCAAAAATACGCCATGATGCCTTTGTCAAAATGAAAATCGTGATAACTGTACTCGTAGAAAATTGTCTCAGCTAGAACATATCCAAATTCGGAGGGAAATCAATCAATATTTACAGAGATACAATCAATGTTCTAAAAATATGCTGACGTCATAATAAGCAAATAGAAATTTTGAGTTCAGAGGCCATTATGATGACGTCATGAGTTCATTGAGGGTCAAATGAGACATGAAATCGTATCTACGATTCAAACTCTATCCAAATATGAAAATGAAATTAGGGGTCAACGGGCATCTTGAAGAGCTACAATGGATTTTGTATAGGTATGTTTTTGCCCATATATGCTATGTATTACAAGAGTTCTCACGCAAGTACATGTATCTTAAACGGATGCTCATTCCGTTATTAATGTTCACAAACAGGTAAACAAGGTATCAAAATGCGCCAAAATGTGCCAAATATGATGACTGAGTAAATTCGGCGATTCTACGTTGCAAAATGTCATGACGCGCGAAAACGCGCACGCTTGTGCGTGTGCACGTTTTTTTCTCGAAATGCTTAAAATGACCTGATTCGTACTCTCGTTTAATAGTTAAGTGATTTTGAGCATTTTAAAATTTTGACGCGCACGTACGCGCAGGTCATGACCTTTATTTGACCTTTGATGACATGACCTGTTGACCCTTGACCTGAAGTATATGTGATATGAATATGAACGACCTTTGATGACGCGTCATGAAGATATGATGGATAATGTGATTTCACCAAATGGCGCCTGGATGACGTCATGAAGACTTGATGACCTTGAAAATGTTCCTGTCACGTCTTATGACAATGACCTATAACGGTGTCAAAATTGAAAGTAATTAACACAACCGATCGTGAGTTATCCTAGGAACAAAAAAGGGGGAGAAATAAAAGTAAAGAATAAATAAATAAATAAATAAATGAAGAAGAAAGAAAATTCTGACGAAATCAGGTGATCTGTCTACGACAGACCACCTAATAATTATAATTTTTTTTTTTAAATATTGATATTATTGTTAATGAATAAAATATAAAAATACAATAATAATGATAATGATAATAATAGTCTTAATGTAAACAAAATATGATAATAACAATAATAATGATAAATGAAGTTCTGATTCAAATAACAGGTCCAGAGTGTACCTGCTGAGGACATAATGCGTGGTCTTGTGCTTTCGCTAGCTGGATCCAGTCTTTCAGACCTGACCAAGTCCAATATTACCATCAATGCTCCGACCCAAGATGACCGCGATGAGAACATTGCTACCAGACCAGACACTATTGCTCAGGTCAACATCCCACCTTCAGTTTCATCCATCATTTCGTCCACGGCCCCACTCTCGGGATCGCAGTCGAATGGCAGTAGTGGATACGTTCGGGTCAACTTCAATGTATTTTCAACTCCAGCCCTGTTCATTTCTAAATCATTGCGCACATTGAGTGCGGATAATGAAGGCTTCAATCGATCGGCTAACTCTCCCGTGATTTCTCTCAGTATTGGTCAAGGGAATATAGCAGCCTTGACCGAATCCATCAACTTTACCTTCACAACGATAATGGTAAGACCCATAACAATTTAACCCTTACTGTACTGGGGGGGGGGGGGCCTGGGACATTTTCGTCGACATCGGATATACCTGTAAGGTGTTACATAACCATTAGTATGCGCATGTCATCAAAAATATGCTATAATTGCATATATTCATGTACAAGCAGAAATGTGAATACTATGAATTGATATCAAATTGCTTTTATATGTTTCTCAAAGTAACTTGATGTATTCCAAACAAAAGAATACATTAGAAATAAAACAATAGATATAATCAGAAATAAAAAACAATAAAATACAAAAGAAAATAAATATTTGAAAATTGCATCAAATTTGCATAAATTAACATTATTAATTACATCAAAATAACTATTTTGTGTTAGAAAAGAAGTTTCATATGAATAATGGGTTTCAATTAACATTCAAAAAGTGGAGTCTGACAATTTTTGTAAAGATTCTAGTTCCCTGTATATTTCTAGATTTTATATTCATGAATGCATATTCATAATTTATGCAAATTAACCTATGCATTTTCAAATATCATAAAAATAAGGTAACCTCATGAATTAGAGATGAAGGAAACATTTATTCAATACATTTTCAACATTCTTCACAAGTCTACAGACAAATAAAAAGAGTTTTCTGTAAAATGCATAAAATTAGCATTTTGCATAATTAATTAGGCTATAACAACAAAATTTGCATATTAGGAAAAAACGAATTATACCACCTTGTTCCTTACGTAAATATCTACAAACATGTAAATTTTCGCGTTCATCGGACTTTCGACGGCCGAGATCATAGGGGGGGAGGGGGGCAGAATAACGTTTTTTTCATATATTCAGTTCAAATCAATTCTAGTTATTTTGCCAAGCAATAAAAAAAAACAGCTTCATGGTAGCAGGTGGTCCTTATATGCGGCTGACCAAATAATTAGATATAAAAAGTCTCATGATTTAATTTAAGCTATAATAACAAGTAAAACAAATAACAATGACATGTAAAATATAATGAATTTAACAACCATTGAAATTTTTAGCTACCATCAATATAGGTCCATCCAATATTGTTTGTATTTACGTTTTAATAAAGTGTTAACAAATTTCAATTCACGTATTTCACATGGTACAGCACTCCAGAAGCAAGGTCCATTATACATCAGTGAATGTTTATATGAAGTTGTATGTACAAGTGGCAAGTGAAAATTATCAGCAATTCTAATACTATAGTGGATTATATTACAATTTAATGTTAAACATTATACGTATTTCAATCTATTTTCTTTTTTTTTCCCTCATTATAAATGGGCTTTTAAACTAAACCAATCAAAATTACCATTCAGTCTTCTTTCATGCCTTATTAACAAATTGTATTGTAGGTCTATGCAATTCTTGCTTTTCTTTTGTTATTGTTGTGTAGCCTGGATACATGAATCCCAATTGTTCATTCTGGGATGAGGAGCAGGCAGATTGGTCCCAAGATGGGTGTGTTCTTGTTTCTGGATTCACATCATCTGATGATGAGGAGAGCGTGCGCTGTGCGTGTGATCATCTTACCAACTTCGCTGTTATAATGGTCAGTGAAAAGCAATCAGGCAATTATTACACATGTATACACATTTTCACCATTTAAATACTCCCCGGACAACTATAACCCGACTAACTAAATGCAGTAGGTTACTAGAGCTATAGCGTGATAATCCTCTTGATGAAACAGGGATAAAGTTGGTCCTACGGATTAAATAATATGGTCTTTGTACTATACAGTGCGTCCAAGAAAAAAACAAAACCGAGATTTATCGAGGTTTTAACATAACTTAATCACAATTATAATTAATAAATGACACATATTTGTACAGCTTATATCCTCCTCTTTCATTTGATGCAACTCATATGATGCATATTTCACGCATGAGTGATTACAAACAATTCAAAGAGAGGGTACCAAAAAGTCATTTGGCGGGCGGTATCTGACTTTCAAAGAGAAAATCCCATTTCTAGAAAGTTCATCTTCTGCCCTTTCATATGACACCTCAATTAGGAAAAATGTGCTAGGAATAACAAAGTTACGTTTGTTTAAAGTAATGCTTGCATTTCCATAATTTTTTATTAAACAAATTCGTTTTCACTGGCTGCCTGCCAAAGCAACAAACATAGTTGACAAAAGACTTCGTTTCATTGACGACCAGCCACGCATCAGGTCCCTCGTCTTCTTTGTGCATGGCTGATCGTCAACGAAACTGCCGAAGAACGATGGAGTGTAGAGCTGGTCTTCAATTGGGTATGAATAATATTCTCACTCTTGAGATCAAAAAAAGTTTGAAGGTGTGTTGTCTTGTGTGGAAGGTAGTAAACTGACATTCTTTTTTTTTCCCGGCAGTAATATCAAGTTACACCACTTTCTATTATAATGAATTCCCAGTTTCTCAGTTTTCAATTAACAACACATAGACTTTATGAAAGCTGATGGATAAATAATCAGTTTTATTTGAGCATTCAAAGAAGATGTTTCCGTTTGGGCACACATTTCTTTCATGTTACAGGATATCCATAGAAAGGAGATCCCTCTTGACAAGGCATACAACATCCTGACTTATATTGGCTGCTGTATTTCTATCTTCAGTCTTCTTGTCACATTGGCAACCTACCTGTGGAACAAGTGAGCCCACTGAGAAAAGATATATGCAATCATTAATGTAATACAAAGGAGACAGGATACGTACTTATTCTCTGGTCAAATTCAAATGCCCTGATTTTGTTTGAAAGTATCTGTGAATCAAACGTTTTGTGAAATACGTATAAATCTGGAGCACGGTTCTATTCCGTATCACTTCTGTTTGAACCAGCAGGGCTGTTGAGAATTACAATCAACAATGTACAGTTCATGAAAGTAGGCCTAAGAGAAGGAGGAGGAGGAGGAGGAGAAGGAGGAGGAGAAGGAGAAGGAGGAGGAGAAGAAGAAGAAAAAGAAGAAGAAGAAGAAAAAGAAGGAGAAGGAGGAGGAGAAGAAGAAGAAGAAGAAGAAGAAGAAAAAGAGAAACAGCCATAATATGATTATTTGCTTGGTGATATAGGGGCGGTGTGACGAGGGTCACAAATAGGTTACAATATTAATTTGTATCATATCAATATTAAACAATATACACTGATATTCTATCAACTTCGTAAATCAAATCCTCTGCCTCTTGGTGTGCAGTTTGCATATAAAACAGAATCCATATTCATTTAGACCATCTTAGGCGTACATCTATTTCCACTTTGACATCGTCCTGATTTAGTTACACCCGGATTAACTTTATTCAACACGCGTGGCAATTCTAGGGGTTTGTGCCCAGTATGAAATAGGAGAGGTAGATGCAAATAAGTTGAGCACAATCACAGAATTTCTTTCATTTTGCAAACATTTTCCTCTTAACTTTCATTTTTTCTTAATGTTTGACATTTCTGTTTTCTGTGTTACTAATAAAGCGATGGTAAACCTGCACATGTATGGTACAACATTGCTTCAACGCTTTCATAACCTTATTTTAATGTTGCAATTTTGATAGGGATTTGAGGACCAAACAGACTAGCCAGATCTTCATCTGTCTGTGCCTGACCTTGCTGTGTCTCTACACGACATTTGCCATCATGATCTCCCTGGATTCTCGTGAGGTCCAAGCTGGACCCTGTGGGTTCCTGACGGCCCTAGTCCACTACTTCGTTTTGTCCTCCATTGCATGGATGGGTGTGGAAGGGTACAACACTTACCTCATCATTGTGAAGATCTTTAACACCTACATCCAGAAGTTTATGATCAAGGCTTTCTTAGCTGCATGGGGTAAGATATTTCTTTCCATGAATATTTTTTTCTGCAATCACCTTTCGGCAATCAAAAACATGATGAATGGGTGATCAAACATAATTCTTATACTATTCATATAACACAGGAAATATTTACTTGTCTCTGTTTTCTAAAGAACAAAATAATTCCAAAACTGGCAGTGTATTATATTCATTGTTATATCACATTACGACGGACTATAGTCCAACAGACATCATCTAAAGCTATGATCACAACCCAGAGCGGCGACCGACCGATTTGTAGCCTGCTCGGTCGCCCGAACTGGGCGAAATCGGGGAGCTTCTCAGGGCGGCGTCCCGGCAGTGACCGACTGATGACCTACCGCTTCCCGAGCGGTTTCCCACCGGCCTGGGGCTCATTTTAAAGAAATTGCGCGGCGGCCGGCAAATGATCGGCGGGGCACCAAAATATGTTTGGTGGCCGGGCGGTCGCCGCCAGGGCACCGAGTTAATCGAGCTTTCGCCGGTGAGCGATTTTAGGTCAAAGGCTGCCGACTAATTTTGAACTTGCCGCACAGTGACCGACTGATCTCCAGGCGGCAACCGCCCAGCCATCGATCGTATTTTGGGCGGCGAGTAAAAAAAGAGCAGGCGCCGCCGAATTGTAACTCCGCGACCAAGTGATGCCCTAAAAATAAGTGGTGCCTGGGCGAAATTGGCTAAAAACTTGCAGCCCGGCCACCGAGCAGGCTACTCTTTTGTGTTGTGACCATAGCTTAAAGGGAACCAAAACCTTCATACTAAGTTACTTTTATTGTAAAGTTTAAAAGATTTGAATAAAATCAGTGAAAATTTGAACAAATTGGGCAAGGAATAAGGAAGTTAGAGCTTTTTGAAATGACTAGTCATTAGAGGGCGGTATTCAATTTGATGACATCATCTGTGGACAAGTCTCCATGCCTTTTGTTCATGTACATAAAATTTCACAATTTTTTCGTTTTCTTCCTATTTATTTGTGTTCTTGATCCGACTTCATAACATATGAAGTAGAATATCATTTTGCATTCTATATCTTGCTTTCAGGGGAGTAGATTATCTCAATCACAAGAAAGAAGGAAAAACATGAAATTTGATGTACAAAAGGCATGGAGAGTTGTCCACAGATGATGTCATCAAATTGAATACCGTCCTCTAGTGACTAGTCATTTCAAAAAGCTCTAACTTCCTTATTCCTTGCCCGATTTTGTTCAAATTTTCACTAATTTTTTTCAAATATCTTAAACTTTACAAAAGTAACTTAGTATGAAGGTTTTGGTTCCCTTTAACAATGTTCATAGATTCGTTGTTGTTGTCATTTATGTTATTTTCCTCATTATAAGTATTAAACATGGCTTGCGATTCGTACGAAGAAGACTCTAAACCCCAGAGACTATAAAAATCAAGATATCTATTCAATTTTAAAATAATTATTGTGGCACCATAACCGTAGTAAAAACTTGTGAGCTGGACAGTACAACAATAACATGAGTAGGCCTATTAGAGAAACGGAGAAAGGAATGAGCCCATAGCCAATTTAGGTGTATTATCATTTATGAATGATTATAAAATGTAATTCCTTATACATGTATGTCATTTCAGGAATTCCTGCACTTATCGTGGTTCTTACTGGAGCTATTGCTAGAGACTCATACGCCCATGATGATCTGTAAGTGGTACCGCTTGACAGTTTAGCTGGAATATTGGATTGCATAGCATAAAGCATACCTAATGATCTTCAAATTTCGGATTCAGCAAAATCACGTTTCTGTACTTTAATCTAGTTTATAGGCATTTGGTAATTTGGTATCTCATGAGTTAGCAAGATTGCAATTGTGATCTGAAATTGGTATTTCGATATCACTTTCGTGGGTATGTGTTGTGATCCAAGCTCTAGAAAGGTCACCAAGTGAATGCAGTCACCACACATACAAACATTTCAGTTGTTGTTAGTAACTCATGGGACAACAAAGCTTGGACTTGCCAAAATCAATAATGCAAAATTATTTACAATGTCAAATTATGAGTTAAAATGTTTCAAGGACTCTGAAGATTTTGTATAAATGTCGCTAAGATAGTCAGTACTGATTGACTTTAATAATTCAGTCACTTTACAAAATGCATATTTACTATCAATAGATGCTTTCTACAATTCTGGGCTCAAATCGGTGGTCTCCTGATTCCCATGTCCATCATCCTCTTCATCAACATCGTCATCTTCATCCTGGTGGTTCAACAATTGATCCGGTCAGCCAACTTCGCTGGTCGGGTGAAAAAAGAGGCTAAGGCAGAACGTCGGGAGACTATAGTACGCGTCCAGAACGCGATCTGCATCTTGCTCGTGCTCGGTTTGACCTGGGTCGCTGGATATCTTCTTTTGATTCCAACATTTAGTCAGGTAAAATTAGCCAACTAGCTTCAAGAATAACTCATGTTTGGTATTTATCACTTCTAAGAAGTATCTTGAAAACTCAATGAGGATAATTACATACACCAGCAATACCTCTTTAGATTTTTATGCCTCCGTTACGAAGTAGCCGGAGGCATTATGTTTTTGGGTTGTCCGTCCGTCCGTACGTACGTCCCGTTCTCGTGATCGCGTTATCTGAAGAACCGATTGATGGATTCCTGCCAAACTTTGGTCATGTATGTATCTTACAGAGCCGGTGAACTGATTAGATTTTGGAGTCACGAGGTCAAAGGTCAAAGGTCACAGGGCTCATTATGTATGCAAAAACAGCTCGTGATCGTGTTATCTGAAGAACCGATTGATGGATTCCTGCCAAACTTTGGTCATGTATGTATCCTACAGAGCCAATGAACTGATTAGATTTTGGAGTCACGAGGTCAAAGGTCAAAGGTCACAGGGCTCATTATGTATGCAAAAACAGCTCGTGATCGCGTTATCTGAAGAACCGATTGATGGATTCCTGCCAAACTTTAGTCATGTATGTATCTTACAGAGCCGATGAACTGATTAGATTTTGGGGTCGCGAGGTCAAAGGTCAAAGGTCACAGGGCTCATTATGTATGCAAAAACAGCTCGTGATCGCGTTATCTGAAGAACCGATTGATGAATTCCTGCCAAACTTTTGTCATGTATGTTACTTGCAGAGCCGATGAACTGATTAGATTTTGGGGTCATGAGGTCAAGGTCAAAGGTCATGCGGCTCATTATGTATGCAAAAATAGCTTGTGAACGCATTCTCATTAGAACTGACAGATGGATTACTATTTAACTCTGGACATCTTGCAGAGCCAATGAACTGAGTAGATTTTAGGGTCATGATGTCAAAGATCAAAGGGTCATGTATGTACATGAGAAATTGCTTGTAATCACGATATTCTGAGAACCTGTTAATGGATTACAATTGAACTTGAATTTGAAAAATTTCTTCTGTTTTGGTTTTTAAAATTGCTCTATGACGGAGGCATCATTTCGACTGCGCGCAGTTGAAGTTCCATCTAGTTAGTATCTGAAGTACATGAGAGAGAATACCATATACCTAATTATTATTTCTGAAACATTTGTGTTTAACAGGTGGCTCAACCAATCTTCATCATCCTGAACTCCTTCCAAGGATTTTTCATCTTTCTACTCTACTGTGTCCGGAAGCCTCACATCCGTAAGAAATGGGGGCTTACTTGTTTCGACAAGTTCCTAAAGAAAGAAGCAACCACCTCCAGCGGTGGGGTAAGCGTGACGGCGCTATCCTCGTCAGCTGGAATGAATAGCAATTTGCGCCCAGGAGCCTCGGATAATTACTTTTTGCCTACCAAAGGCGACAATCCCGATCATATGTCTATGTTTAATCCGACCTATGATGATAGTCAGGTTGAGGAAGGGGTCATACCACCCATGAACACATATATCCAGAGTTCCACAGAGGAACAGAAGAAGGACACGGATCGTGATGCAACAAGCGCTGATGTTGTGGCGGTAAGTCTCCATCTTGATGCATCTGTCCCAATAGCCACTGAGAGAAGTGACGGTGTTTCCTCCAACACGGATGCTGACACGGTCATTGTAAATCTGGATTCAACTGATGCCAGGAAAGCTACCGAGGGTACCGATGATGTTACTTCCACCAACAATGATGCTGCCGTAAGTTCCCCTAAGGATGCAGAGAATGGCACCAAATACAATGAGTGGAGTAATGATGCTGCCGACAATCTTCCACCGGATTCAACAGATATCAACAAAGGAAATTAGAGCAGTGACATAGATGCCAGTAGCACCACCGATTTTGCCACTGCCAATGGCACAGGTTGGTTTTGACTATAGCGATGTATTCATTCTAATACTTGAGTTTAAAAAAAATTGTAAACAGCTTTTGTATTAATTTAGTTTTAAGCAAGAAGAGGGTCTTAAAGAGAACCTGATGTTATATTGGCATACTAGGCAGGGTATGGGTGGGCTAGGTGTCGGCTGAACCCCCATCCCTTTTCCCAAGCATTTGGTATTTACAATGTCTCTGCTAGCTGGAATCGGACCAGTTCACTGGCTGAGAATGCCAATGCCTTAACCAATATACCACACAGAACCCTCCCATTCCCCTTCCCCAAGGTTTTCGCAATAACCAATAGTCCGTCACCACATATTCAGGCAAACAGGTGGTTGTTATCATCTTTATTATATTTCGATGACGACATATATGTACAATACCGTGTCGAAACATTCATAATCAGATGATTTTTTTTAAAGATATTACTTTGTGGTGTATTACTCAGAGAAGAGGTATTTTCATTGTTAGAAAAAGTATGTTGATGATGATGGTACAAGGTTTTTTTTAATACGTTTAAATCACTTTTAGTCATGATATGATATATATATGTATGCATTTTGCGAATGGAAATTACTGGTAGATAAGAATGGTTGCGTAGCTTAAATTGCTGTCCTCTTTTTAAAATTAGTTTTCAAAGGTTGAAAAAAAATTGTATCCGCAGAGAATCGAACCGGGTCAATGGCTGAGAATGCCAATACCTTGACCACTAGACCACAAAGAACCCCCCATACCCCTTCCCGTATTTTGCAATTACCAATAGTCCATCTCCACATCAGGAAACAGGTTGTTGTTATTTGTTATCATCTTTATTACATTTCAATGATGACATTATATATATATATATATACATATGTATGTACCGCATATGAAAGCATTCATGATCAGATGAAATACTTTGTGGTGTTTTACTCAGAGAAGAGGTCTTTTTACTGTTGAAAAAAGTATGATGATGATGGTATGATGGGGTTTTTCAATTCAGTTTAGTCACTTTTAGTGATGACATGATATATATGTATATTCAATTATTGCGAATGGAAATTAGATAATATTGGTCACACAGCTTATAAATACAAGGTCCCGATTGATGTCCTCTTTTTAAAAAAAATTTGCAAAGGTTGTAATAAATTGTCTCCGCCGGGAATTGAACCAGGTCACTGGCTGAGAAAGCCAATGCCTTAACCACTAACCACGAAGAATCCGCCATCTCCCTTCCCGAAGTATTTTGCAATTATCACTATTCCGTCACCACATATTCGGGCAACCAGGAGAATGTTATTTGTTATCATCTTCATGATATTTAAATGACAAAATTATATCTGTACAATTTATATGTAGCGTATCGAAGTGTTCATGATCTGGAGATTTTTTTTTATATGATACTTTGTGGTGTATTACTCAAACAGAAGGTCTTTCCATTTTTGGCAAAAAGTATAATTATGATGCTAATCATGCTACTTGTCCAAAAAAAAAAATTGTCATTTGATTTTAGTCATCATTTGGCATGACAAAGTTCCCCATTGTTGTCCTCTTTTTTAATTTCTTTGCAAAGGTTGAAAAAAATTGTCTCCACCAAGAATCGAACTGTGTCACTGACAGCGGACGACAAAAACTGCTAGACCAGTGATACTTCAGGTGGTCGACAAAAAATAGACCAGTGAATAAAAAATGATGTAAAAAATGTAGGAGATACAAAATGTACTATTTTTTGCCTTTAAACGTGTGTTAAGTAATGACAAAAATGCATACAGTTCTTGAAGTTACCTTGTTGTTCCATGATTATACTGTCTATATATCGATAATTTCATGTGCTTCTTGATTTCAAGTGTCTTATTCGAAATTGATATCACCATATTATACTCAGAAAAATGATCATGTTCTTGTTGTCATATGATAAAAAGGAAAATGAGCTTTTAAGTGATGTATACATTAATGATAAAAAATGATTTAGGCGATTTTGGAGTATTTTACGAATATAAACTTAGGTTTCTAATATCACGGATACCCTGTATTGTAGCTCGTTTCAATGTTGAATTGCTTAGTTAATTTGTGATACTGCTGATACATATCATTTGCATTATGGTGCGCACCAAGAAATATATAAAAGCAAGCTTAGTAATAAAGTAAATGGTGGAGTGGAAAGTTGGTATTCACCTTGTTCTTATTAATCGTTTATAATCAATTATTTCATATTCATATTTCCATTGCGATTTAAAATGTATGCAATCTACTATTATTTACAAAGAATGAAATAACAAGAGAGCCCGAAATCCACAAGATCAATAAAGCATAATCTGGGTTTGGATTTGTATTGGTATCTATTCAAAGAATTCCACATGGTAGCCCAGGGGCTGAATTACATGGATTCTACCAGGTAAAACGACAAAAGACAAAATGTAAATTACAAATTTATATATATATATACCTTATAAAGGAGAGAAATTGAGAGAGAAATTAAGAGACGAGACTGAAAAGAGAGAACAAGAAACAGTAATATAGAGGTAGAAGTGTGGCAATCAACAGGAATATATTATAAATTACATAATAAATGAGAGATTGATTAACTTAATAATCATCTATTGTGTCACTTCGTACCTTCTAAAATTATGGTAAAATACAAACAATTGTAACAAGCGGAGGTAAAGAGTAGGGAAGTAGAGGCGAATTTAATGAAGGGGACAGCAGCAGTATGAGATGGCAGGAGGGAGACAGATAGAGGAAGAGAGAGAGAGAGAGAGGGGGAGGAAGAAGGAGAAGAGGAGTATATATATATATATATATATATATATACAGAAATGATAATAACATTGATACATTGTGATATTATATAGTGAAAGCAAATATGCGGAATATAATTCATGATAAAATGGTAAATTTTGAAGAAAATAAATTATAGGATGGACGTTAATTTTCTTGTACACTTTGTTTTGACAACTAACAGTTTGGCCGTTCTAAAAATTACCTGAAAGTGTGCAACATAATCGTAAACACTTCCAAAATTCAACTCGAGGGTAAATTAAATAGTTATGTTCATGGCTCATATGGTAATTTTCATGTGAGACGAGGCTGACGAGCCACCAGGCTTGCCTGGGTTTTACTACGATAAAATATCTTCAAGCATGCAGTAGACCGGTTTATTAACATATGCAAATTTTATGCATATTGCATGACCTCCGGAAAGCTTACCCGACATAGCAACAATTCATGTAACTTCATATTCAGTCTTGTGTCATTGGTGTTAATGAGGTACTATGGGCTTGATTCTGTCTCTTTCCTCGCCTCACCCCTTCCCCCTAAAAAAAAAGATTAATGTTTACTCGTGGATGAAGATTGAGATTCGAAATGCACAAACGGACGTCATTGCGAAACATTTCATTTTGAGAAGAAAAAAAACAGGATTTTTCTAAATTTATAAAATTTCAAAAACAATTGTTATTGAAATATACATCACAGCAGGTCAAATGAGATAGAAGCTAGTCGCCTGGCTAGAAATTGTGATTAACCATTAAAAAGAGGAGATTTGCAGCCACAAAAAATTGGGGGGAGGGGGAAGGTGGAGGGGTAGTGAGCACTAATTTAAAAAAATTGCCCCCGAAAATTTGAAAATCGCGCCGGCCGATATTTCGCTCAGTGGGGTGGGGTTTGGGAGGTAGTGAGTATTTTTTTAAATTTTTTTTTTTTGGCCCCCGAAAATTTGAAAATCGCGCCAGCCGATAATTCTTAGTGAGTCTTAGTGAGCACAATTTTGTTTTGCGCCCCCCCCCCTTTAGGAAAAACAAAATTGAGGGGGTAACCCCCGAACCCCTGTGCGTACGCGCCTAGTCGTAATGTACATTGTTGTTCGGTCTGGTGACGGTCTCATTGCTGTGATTTAGGTACGGTATAGAGGCTTACGTATTTAGAAACATTCTATTACTGGGAATCGATTCTGATAATGTAACTTCATTAAAAACAATAAATGTTGTCACGACAACCGCAAGTATGCCTGTCCAAAACCTTATTTATTTACACTCGTAGTAAGGTTTTTCAAAGGGGTTGAGTTCAGAAGGAAAAAAAGTGTGTCTATCCATGACTCTTTTCAAAACTAAAAATATATAATTTACGACCCTTTCTTTCCGAGGACGTTCACGTGAGCCATGTTCAGTGAGAATTGCACTAGATTGCTCAATTCAATACAAATGAAACACAAGCCATGCTTAACCATGTACAACGGAAAAAGTTATCCACGTATCTAGGACACCTACCCCCTGGACATCTACCCCCCCCCCCCCCGGATAACCACCCCCAGTCAACTACCCCTAGGACAACTACCCGTAGGGCACTAACCACTCTCTAGGACGACTACCCCCTATACAGTGCGTCCCAGAAAAAACGAAACCGAGAATTATCGATGCTTTATCATAACTTAGACACAAATATAAATTGATAAATGACACATATTTGGAAAGCTTAGATCCTCCTCTTTCGATTGGTGCAACTTATATAATGCATATTTCACGCATTAATGATTAAAATGACTGTATAATTCACAAACCTCCGCTTGAAAATGATCGAAGAGTGAAACTTACTCAGTTCAGTTGCTATAATTGTTTCTAAAATTGCAAATCCTTTGTGTTCACTGTAGCAGGCGCGGATCCAGGATTTCTCAGGGGAGGGGGCCCAATTTTTTTTTTTTTTTTGCTCCCCCGAAAATTTTAAAAAATCGCGCCGGCCGAAAAGTCGCTCCGTTTGGGGGGGGGGGGGGGTAGTGAGCACATTTTTTTTTTTTTTTTTTTTTTTTTTGGGGGGGGGCCATCCCCCCAAAAAGCTAAAAAAATCACGTGTTTTTACATGTTTTTTTTCCCCAGGGGGGTGCCGTCCCCCCCCCCTGGATCCGCCACTGCACTGTAGTGTAAGCTTTCAGCTCATTATCAGCTACATGATGACTTTCTCAGAAGAACGAGAATCTTTTTCATCAACTATTTAGTCCACTTCTTCCTCACCAAGCGAAAACAAATTTGTTGCAACCTCATATTTCGCGCTGCATGCAGCGCAAGCAATTAATGTGTACGAAGCGGCGTTGTACGTGTGTAGTGCATTGAACTTGAAGGGCTCATGCCGAAAGGCCCCGAAAGGGTGGGTAGCGTCGCCATCGCGTTGACTTGAACGCGACCATTCGTCTAAAGCCCCCCCCCCCCCCGTTTGGCCGAAAGGGTGCGTTAGGAATGTCGCGTTGACTGGAACGCGAGTACGCGACCATTCGTCCAACGCCCCCCCCCCCCCGGTTTGGTCGAAAGGGTGCATTGACTTGTCTTCCACGTCAGTCGTTTATAATTGAATTTAAGGAATATAAATTTAAGTCCTTTAAAATCAAATAATGAAAAAAGAAACAGATTAAAAATCAAATGAAACTAGTTTTTACTTTCATCTTCGGCTGGCAGCGAGTAAGTAGGAGGAGGGAGCATTGCGTTGGTGTGGTGGACCAAAAGTAAATCGGCCAGACTCTGGACAACTGACAACTTTTGCATCCACTCATGCATGCATGCAACTCATTGAACTTAAACAAAATCTAAGTTCAAACGATATTTTCCGTTTGGCGGGTAGTGACCAATAATTTTGTTTGGGGGGCACAATTCGTTTAAAAAAGCATATGTTAAAGAGGGAAGTTGTTATATTTGATCAGTAAGGCTTCCCCTTCGCAATGATATGAATTTTGCATCAATTCATAACACTTTTGATCCTTCGGATGACAAAAACTTGAGCAAACCTAGTTATGTTAGTCTCTTACTATGTCTGGAGCACTTAAAGTACAGAGTCTATGCAGTATGTCAGCCTGGCCCCCGTCTTATGTAGAGTTTATATTAATCGCAACTTATTTGTGTAGGAACTGAAAAGTAGATACACCTTTATTTAGAAACAAATATTACAATGAATGGACATTTATCTCTCCAAGGACTGCATGTTACCATTTGTAGAATATTTGTTTTGATAATTAAACATACAAAATGAATTTGGACATAAATATGAAACTATAATTCACTTATTAAAACAAAAACTATCAGATGGAGTGTCTACTAGTTTTGTTTTGCTGAATGTGTTTATATCTGTGTCTTATAAGAAAGCAATGAATATGAAAAAACTGTGATAGAAAGATGATGTGGTGTCCGTCCCTGTGGATGTGGCACATAACTTTTTTCCTCTTCATCTTTTCTTTCTTTCATTGATAATATCTTTCTCCCACTCTCCTTTTCCGCTTTGGTTTGCATATTTCAATACTTATCATTGCAAATATTTGTGTTCCGTTTTATAGAACCCCTGTGTGAAACGAATCTATTCTGTCATCAATAACTAACACAAATGAAACTTGCGATTAGTGTTTCACTGATGACAACTTCAAAAATTCATAACTTTCCTTTTATGAATCGAATTTTGCTCAAATTCTCACTAATTTGTGTCCCTCATTTTCTGCTTTTATCAAAACCTACCTAATATCAGGGTAGACCTCCCCCTTTATAATGTTGATTTACAAGTATAACTATGGTAAAATCTGCTTTTAATACTGACCACCTGTCTACAAAGACAACATTTTTGTTTCCCTTGAAAATGTTTTTTCATTGAAACATTTACTATAGACACCTGTCTACAAAGATCATCTGCATATAAAGACCACTTTTCTTGACTCCCTTGGGTGGTCTTTATAGACAGGTTTTACTGTACAAACAAACCTATGTAATTTAATATACCTCTGTAGTGTTATTGGTACGCTCAAAAAAGGAAGACAGGACTAGGTTTCCGCTTGGTTGTATATGAACTCAACGATATGCCAGTTGAGCTATTTTATTCAACTTGTTTTGCGGAAATTGCTAGCGACTCTGAAATACCGTTGCCATTTTCCTAAACCTGGAATTCTGGCCTCTAAATAAGCGTCTGAAATGATATGTCAGACCACATCCGTGGAAAAATGTGCTCTGCAACGTATACACTTACTTGACCCTAGAAGTAGGTCAGGGTCAATACGGTATCTTGCAAAAATCTTGGAAAAAACAAATAACTTTCATGTTTCGCTGAAACAACCTCCCCCCAAATGAGGGCAACAATAAAATTGACATCATTTTCATAAAAGTACGCAATGTTTCTCATTTAAAATAGAACAAAATACTTTCTTCGGTGTTTCACTCCAAAATCTGTAAATGACTCATAGCTAAGATGTGAAAAATACTTCTTCTCACTCTGCTTAATTAACACTTTAACAGTCTAAATTACCATCCAAACTATTAACAAGGCTAATGAAAAGGTATCTGCAAGCCTGCACGAACCTGAAAAACAATTGTTGCATGAAAATACAAAAATTTACATTTCCTGTCCAAAAATATCAAATGGATATTCCATACCAGTTTGCTTCCTGTATACATAATCATAAAAATCAACTTTTCTCTGCAAACTTTCTTTGCTGAATTTGCTAATAAATGGCAAATATCACTCAAAATCTCAAATACAAAAAATGTATTCAAAATGTACCAAACTTTGTACATAATTTCAAACTGTTGAATTTTGTTCTCAGTGTAAACTGTGCCAAAGTCAATTCCCAAGTAACAATAGCAAAAATTGAAATTTGCACCAACAAAGCTTTGTTATCATCTATCTTCTTAAAGCTGGAAAAAGTTGATTTTGAACAAGAACATAGAAAGTGAATAAATTTGTTATTCTGTGAATACTATAGACAGACATATTTCTGTTCAATCTACTCTTCATATCCTTCTGCTGGATATAATACGACCACTTTGTTTATTGGCCTTCTATACTCAGAATTTGCCGTCTTTACTGTCACGTTTCTGATCTTATTATCAGTTCCAGGAAAAACTTCAACAATTCTCCCTAATGTCCATTTTCCTCGAAGAGCGTTCTGATCTGACAATATAACTATGTCATCTACACAGAGATTACGTTTGTCAACATTCCACTTCTTTCGCGGTACTAAGAGTGGAAATACATCGCGATTCCATGCCTTCCAGAATGAGTCGACGATTCGTTGCACAAATTCGACTCTATGTCGCGGATTCTTCGTTTCTCTGAACGGACCCTGGGGTACCCTACTAGATGCTCTCCCTAACAAAACATCATTGGGACAGAGATAACTACCATCGTCGGGGTCATTCGGTACCCTCCCTATTGGACGCTGATTGACGAGGTTTGCTACTTCTACCAAACAGGTATATAACTCAAAAGGAGTGAGGACCTGATCACCTATAGCTTTCTTTGATGCGGACTTACATGTACTACTCTATACAAGTGCTTCAGCACATCCATTCTGATGAGGAGCTGAAGGGGTTGTAAACCTCCACTCTACACCTTTCTCCGCACAAAACTCGCGTAGTAGATCGCTATCCCATCCCTTTACCATCTCACGTAGCTCACGTACCGCTCCCACAAATTGTGTACCATTATCGCTCAGGATGACCTTCGGTTGACCTCTAAACGCGAAAAACCTACGTAGAACCTGAAGAAACTCCATTGTAGAAACATCTACCGCTAGGTCAAGGTGTACCGCTCTTGTGTTAAGACACGTGAAGATCACTCCATAGTGCTTAGCAACCTTATTCCGCCCCACCTTCACGCTGTACGGCCCAAAGTAGTCGCACGAAGTATACAGGAATGGAGGCGAAAACGGTGTCATACGTATCTCTGGTAGCTCAGCCATAAACTGCGACTCAACCTTGTGCTGCATCTTACGACACATCACGCACCTGTGCTTGATAGTCTTGGCAAGCCTATGTATGCCAATCACCCAGTAGTTGCTTCTCACTTTCGCTGCCATTGTCGCAACTCCATCATGCCCCAATTCATGGACATGCTTAGTGATGAGCGTAGAGATGCGATGCTGATGAGGTAATAACACAGGATGCCTGCTGTCATACGAAATCACGCCTTCTCCAACTCTACCTCCAACTCTGATGATTCCATTCTCTATGTAGGGTGTTAGAGTCTTGAACTCCCCCTTCTTCAGTCTGTCATGAAGCGGTTTCTGAGCCTCTCTGACCCAGTACGTCTCTGCATCACCTAGCTCAGCTGCTGTAAGTGGTCCTGCCGTCACTTTCCCTCTCTCATCTCCTGATCTTACCCTCGCCTTCATGTTGTGGGTAAATCTCCGTACATATGCAGTGACTCTCACCAGTTTTCTCCAGCTGGAAACTCTTTCACAGTCGATGCTGTCTGATGCCAATACTACATTCGACACCTGTTGAACTTTACGCCTTTCACTGTCCATTGACGAAATCTCAGATTTCGTCTCACTCTGTGGCCATTCCTCCTCAGGCGATCTTAGAAATTGAGGACCACATCTACACCTCTCTAACTTCTCTACTGTAACACCTCTCGAAATGTCGTCAGCTGGATTTTCTGCTCCACTCACATGTCTCCACTGTTGGGGATTCGACTTGCTTTGGATTTCTCCTACTCGAGCTGACACAAAGGGCTTAAAACTTCTTGCCTGACTTCGAACCCATCCAAGCACTATCTTGCTATCTGTCATGAACACTGTCTCTCTTAACTCTAGTGTGGTCTCATCTCTGATGGTTGCATCAAGTCTAACGGCAACCACTGCAGCTTGTAGCTCCAATCTCGGCAGCGTCAACTTCTTTAGTGGTGCCACTCTAGATTTCGCCGTCACAAATCTAACATCATAGCTGCCATCCTCTAACTCCCAGCGAATGTAAACACAAGCTCCAAACGCCTCTTCAGATGCATCACAAAAGACACATAATGTAGGTCGTCTCATTGCACCAGGTGGTGTCAAACATCTCTGGAATGACACTCCATCTAAGTTCTCCATCTCTCTGAAGAGTTTTACCCATTCTGCCTTTTCTCTGGAGGGTAGCTCTTCATCCCAATCTAAACCAAGCTGCCACAGGCGTTGCATTCCTATCTTTGCCTTCACCAGTAATGCTGAAGCAAATCCTATGGGATCAAAGATCTTTGCAATCTGGCTTAGTATCCGTCTCTTTGTCCATTTGCTGGTGGTGTCTTTCTGTTCGTCTGGAAGATCTGGGATCATACTTCTTTTCACTCTGTATGAAAACTCATCTGTGTTTTGGTTCCATACCATCCCCAGAACCTTCTCCTCACTCAGATCCTCAAGAACGTTGGTTTTCATCTGAGAAGTCTCATCTTTCAGCTGTTCGTTGGATTGCCAACCCTTCACCTTGAAGCCTCCGTCAGCTAGCACCTCATCTATGTCCTTGACAAGATCTTTCGCCTCCTCTGACGTTCTTACTGAGGTACATATGTCGTCCATGTACGTGTCACGTTTCAGTACTTCTGCTGCCTTAGGATGTTGAGACTCTCCCTCTACTGCTGTCCTCCTCAGAGCTATCTGGGCCATTGCTGCAGCAGGCTTATCTCCAAACGTGACTACAGTTTTCACGTACACATCCGATTCTCTCTCTGAATCTAATCCTCTCCACAAGTACCGATGGACGTGCTGATCGGATTCTGGAATCAGTACTCGGTGGTACATCTTGGATATGTCGGCGCATATCGCAACTCTGTGTTCTCTGAAGCGAAAGAGTACTCCGAACAGACTCTGTAATAAGTCTGGCCCTTTGAACCAGTAGTCGTTCAGACACTGTCCCTTGAAAACTGCTGATGAGTTAAACACAATTCTCACTGGTGTGCTCTTTTTTCCGGCCTGACAACCGCATGATGACCAATGTAATGGACAGGCCCATCATGCCTTTTCTTCTCTTCATCAGTCAGCTTTCTCGAAAACCCCATCTCGACCATCTCTTGCATCTGCTGTTTGTAAACTTCAGCATGCTCTGGGTTCTTTGCAAGCCTTTTCTCCGTCGCCTGAAGCATTCTCTCTGCTTGCACTCTGTTGTCGGGCAGCTTCTCTGGGTTATCCTTCCATGGGTAAGGAACAAGCCACTGCTTACCCACTTTCTTGGCAGAGTTCCAGATAAGATCATGTTCATCTTTCTCTACTTTAGTCATCCTTTCGGCTTCACAATGACAACCCACATCAACTCCCATCGACTCTGTAGTCCAAAACGCTGATAAGTCAGTTGCTGGACTCAGTTGCATGTTGAGCACTCTATTCTGATACTGCTGGTTCAGCTTAGATGCTCCAAACACCACCCATCCAAGTGGTGACTTCCTAAAGATGAAGTTGCCTCGTTGTCTCGTTTCACCTGCGTGCATCATAGCGTGGTCAATTCCTATCAGAAGATCTATAGACCCACTACCTCTACGTAACTCTCTGGGGTTGAGGCCTACTTGTCGGGCAAGATTATCAGTGTTCACCTCCTCAATGTCATCATTGATGCACGGTAATCCAACAGCTAATATCTTATGGATTGTCTTCCCATCTACTGAACTGACCGGCACTCTATACAAGGATGTTGTCACAGATTCCTCTACACAGCCCACCTTGGTTATTGTGATACTGATGCTCTTTCCTGTCAGTCCCAAGTCTTCAGCGAGCCCTTGGCGGATGATGCTGATCTGGGCCCCTGAATCTAACAGCACGTTTCCTTGGATCTTCAGCTCTGAACCTGAAAACCTTGCCCTGATGACGGGTAGCATGGCTTCAGTACCTCTTACAAGGGCTACTCCCACCGCATTGTTGTCCATGCTGGGATGTAACAAAGGATGATGAAAGAACTTGCATGGTTGCCCCTTGTATGTCTCTGGACACCGTCTCCTTTTCTTGCAAGTAGCCATTCGATGCTCTCTGCCGGCTTGCTTCAAACAGCTATAACAAGCTCGGTTACTCTTCACCATCTCCAATCTCTCCGCTGTAGACTTATCAAGGAAAGTCTTGCATTGGTCAGTCCAGTGCCCATCCTTATTCTTGCAGATCCAGCAACGATAGTCTTGCTGTCTTTCCTCACATGCTGTGACCTGACTAACAGCGGATCTGGACTTAGAGGCTGCATCATTCCTCACTGGAGCAGATGATCTTATCCTTGATCTCAACTCAATCTCCATCCACTTCAACAGTGCCTCTAATGTCGCCGTTGTTCCTTCTCCTTGCTTTCGGAACCACATCTGTCGATCTGTGACATAGAGCTTCTTCTCAATGATGGCTAGCATGTGACTATTGTTTATATCCTCAGCTCTATCTACCTCCTTCAAGGTATTGAAACTTCTGCGTATGAGATTCACAAAGTCACAGAATCTCTCATCTTCCCCATCTTTCAGAGGACGAAATCGGGATACGTCTTCCATAATAGCATCAGCTACCATCCTTGAGTCTCCGTAGAGCAGATCTAGCTGACCCCATGCAGCTTCATAATCTCGCCCTATTCCTCTAATGTGTTGAAGTGGCTTCCCCTTCAAACAAGACCTCAGGATCATCAAAGCATCCCTCTCATCGTAGTGTGGATGTATAACATGCTGAAAATCAGCCTTGAATACATTGTATTCTCTTATGTCTCCTTGGAACGTTGGTAACTTGGGCCTCTCCATGTTGAAGCGAGGTGCTTGAGGCCGTTTCGACTCTGCTTGAACAACAGTTCTCTGGGAGCTCTCCTCATCTCTCTCTGTTGGTTGTTGAGGCTCTTGCGATGAAGACATCTGAGAGATATAATCCTTCTCCCGGATCTGGAGCTTGCAGAAATAATTCTGGCACTCATCAAGCCATAGCTCCTCCTTGTTGAATTCTTCATCGTTCTCAATCTTCTCTGTATAGGCCTCGTGTTTGGATTGGAGGTCTACGTAAGCCTGGTTGGCTTGTTTGAAAGCTTCCTTCACCTCTTCCACCGGCCGCTTTTCCTCTATCAGGAAATCCAACACATTCCCCAACCTGGTGAACTTGGCTTTGGTCCCTCTCCTCTTCAACCTTAGGCTTGTCATGTCATCAGTCGGCATTGCTTCAGTTCTCGATGTACCGGCTCTGTAACAAGTTGAATTGTGTTTAACTCATCAGCAGTTTTCAAGGGACAGTGTCTGAACGACTACTGGTTCAAAGGGCCAGACTTATTACAGAGTCTGTTCGGAGTAATCTTTCGCTTCAGGGAACACAGAGTTGCGATATGCGCCGACATATCCAAGATGTACCACCGAGTACTGATTCCAGAATCCGATCAGCACGTCCATCGGTACTTGTGGAGAGGATTAGATTCAGAGAGAGAACCGGATGTGTACGTGAAAACTGTAGTCACGTTTGGAGATAAGCCTGCTGCAGCAATGGCCCAGATAGCTCTGAGGAGGACAGCAGTAGAGGGAGAGTCTCAACATCCTAAGGCAGCAGAAGTACTGAAACGTGACACGTACATGGACGACATATGTACCTCAGTAAGAACGTCAGAGGAGGCGAAAGATCTTGTCAAGGACATAGATGAGGTGCTAGCTGACGGAGGCTTCAAGGTGAAGGGTTGGCAATCCAACGAACAGCTGAAAGATGAGACTTCTCAGATGAAAACCAACGTTCTTGAGGATCTGAGTGAGGAGAAGGTTCTGGGGATGGTATGGAACCAAAACACAGATGAGTTTTCATACAGAGTGAAAAGAAGTATGATCCCAGATCTTCCAGACGAACAGAAAGACACCACCAGCAAATGGACAAAGAGACGGATACTAAGCCAGATTGCAAAGATCTTTGATCCCATAGGATTTGCTTCAGCATTACTGGTGAAGGCAAAGATAGGAATGCAACGCCTGTGGCAGCTTGGTTTAGATTGGGATGAAGAGCTACCCTTCACCTTGAAGCCTCCGTCAGCTAGCACCTCATCTATGTCCAACAGAGAGAGATGAGGAGCTCTCCTCATCTCTCTCTGTTGGTTGTTGAGGCTCTTGCGATGAAGACATCTGAGAGATATAATCCTTCTCCCGGATCTGGAGCTTGCAGAAATAATTCTGGCACTCATCAAGCCATAGCTTCTCCTTGTTGAATTGTTGGTACACTCACAAAAGGAAGACAGGACTAGGTTTCCGCTTGGTTGTATATGAACTCAACGATATGCCAGTTGAGCTATTTTATTCAACTTGTTTTGCGGAAATTGCTAGCGACTCTGAAATACCGTTGCCATTTTCCTAAACCTGGAATTCTGGCCTCTAAATAAGCGTCTGAAATGATATGTCAGACCACATCCGTGGAAAAATGTGCTCTGCAACGTATACACTTACTTGACCCTAGAAGTAGGTCAGGGTCAATACGGTATCTTGCAAAAATCTTGGAAAAAACAAATAACTTTCATGTTTCGCTGAAACAGTTATAATAATTATATTTCTTGTAAACAAATTGACACGTGAAATATAAAATATAAAATAATCTGTATTGATCTGAACTAAACAAAAATATTCGAATGACGGCCTATATTGAACTTGAGGGTCGCTTGATATATCTGTTTTCCCCCATGCAAAGTCTCTCAACCGAGCGCAGTAGAAAAATGTTGCTTACCCCCTCATTGTTTCGACTATTTTATTTTCTTTCTGTAGTTCCTCTTCTGTGGAAGGAATGCATAGCGTCATGCATAATTATTCTGCTGGCTTGTAAGAGAAAATAGATTTCTGGTAAAGGTACAAAATTAATTTACTGAGCTTTTTCATTTTTGGCTAAGTGGGAAGCCAGGGCGTCAGGAAACAAATGTGCACTGAAAGAAATAGCTCGGATGACTTTACAAAACTTTTATGACAACGAGACACAGGGCGTATCAATAAAAATCTACCCAACTTTAATAGGTTCTAATAGAAAAGCCATAACCGAAATGACTTTGAAATTAATTTCATAATGAAGAGCAATTTTTTTTCTGTCCAACAAACCCTATTTGTAATAATTTCTGCCACGAGTGAATGAGCTCCAGGGTGTTTAAAAAGTGTTGTCAAAGTCTGGGCTTTAGGGACCAATGTAGGTTTGGCCACTATATTTATGCGCATTTTTGGTCTTAAATTAAAAGTTAATTGTGCATCGTGCTTCAGTGCTTCAATGATGCAATGTAACTAGGCTTTCGCAGAACCTTGTTTCAATCGACAGGATAACCCTTAATTGTTGCAAACAGCCTACTTAAGCTATGGTCACATCACTCAAAAGTAGCCTGCTCGGCGGCCGGGTGGCGAGTTTTTAGCCACTTTCGCCCAGGCATCGCTCGGTCGCTGCTGAAGTTTTAGCCTGTCGAGCGATTTAAGTCAAAAATCGAAGCGGCTATAGGTCAAAGGCTGCTGAACGTTCGCCGCCCGGTCGCCACCCGCTCGCTGCTGGGAGATCAGTCGGTTACTGAGCGGCAAGTTCAAAATCGGTCAGCAACCTTTGACCTAGCGGCTTTAAATTTGGACTTAAATCGCTCGACGGTGAACGCTCCATTAGGTAGGTGTCCGGGCGTGTTTTGTCGCCCCGCCGATCACCGGCCGACTGCCGGGCAATTTCCTTAAAATTAGCCGGTGGCTGATGGGAGACCGCTCGGGTATCGGTGGGTCATTGGTAGGTCACTGCCGGGACGCCGCCCGGAGAAGCTCTCCGATTTCGCCCAGTTTTGACCTAAAATTGACCGGCGACCGACAGGAAATCAACAGGCATCGCTGGGGCTCTACAGCCTGCTCGGCTTCTCCAAAAAAAAAAATCGTTGGGCGATGCCTAAATTCCAGCGGCGACCGAGCAGGCTACTAATCGGTCGGTCGCTGCTCTGATTTGTGACCATAGCTTTACTTCTTGTCTAATAATAGCTCGCCTAATACAGTTCTCTCTGCTCACTTGGCCACTGCGCCATTTTACACGCGGAAGGGCAAAAGGTGTTTATCTAGAAAAGCGATCGAAAACTCAAAGGTTATACTTAACCCAAATGCAAGAAAGAATACTTAATGATGATAAATATCAAAGAAATTTATAACTGACTCTCATTAAAAAAAAGGTAATATCCCCGGTGAACTTTATCCATTTTGTATCACTCGAAGAGAAGGTTACCTTTAACAAGCGGGGGGGGGGGGGGGGGGGGGGGGGTTGTGAGCACTTTTTTTTTTTTGGTCCTCGAAAATTTTAAAATTTGCACCCCCCCCCTCCCCCAAAAGGTAAAAATCACGTGTTTTTATATGTTTTTTTTTTCTCAAGGGGGGGGGGGGGCGGGGCCCACCGGGCTCCCCCCCCCCCCATCCTGGATCCGCCACTGTAGGAGTGACTCCCCAATCCTCCCCCCTCTCACATGGTGCAACCGCAAGCCTACTGTATATCTAAATCACCATGCAAGCCGATACTTATAAGCAGCATCAGTTTTGTTTGGTTAAGTATTCAGTCTTATTCTGAAAAAAGGCAATGCTTGTTCTAGTTTTTAGAATTAAATAACTGTGTAGTCTGATAATCTCTTCCTATTATGTGATATTATATATATTTTAGTCCTTTACATTGTAAAATTATGAACATAGAATTATGTTGTATTTATGTTCGTTCATCAAGTGATATAAAAGCTTTGTTACAATTATGTGTCAGTTCTGTGTAAACTTTGTTTTGTATGAAAAAGAATTGGAGTTTTGAGAAATAAAATCAATGAATACAAAAATAAAGTCCTTACCGGTAATCATCGGTAATTGCATTTAAAATCTTCCCAATTCTTTTTTTTAATGAATATTCTTCACCACGGATATAAATAATATCTACTTTAATCATGTAACACTTACCAGTCAATTCAAACATATCCTATCTATAATGTGTGCATCTATATGCCTTTACGGCCAGATGGTAGATATGTTTGATATGTTTTACGTTTCATAATAGTTCATTTAATGATGATTATAATAAGAATGATTATCATGATAAGAATGATGATCATAATAATAATGATAATGATAACAATATCAATATTAATAATGATATTGATAATAATATAAATAATAATCATAATAATTATAGTAATAACAATATTACAAATTATGATAATAGAATACCAATGATATGCAATATTTATGATAATAACTTTATATGTCTTGCCCCAGCAGTTTTGTACTTTCACGACTTTTCCTCTTCACTGTTGAGATTAACCTATTATTCTTAATCTCAATATATAATTTTTCAATGCCTGAATATAAATACCTGACTGTAGTTCAAGTTTAATCTTCCATTGTTCTACATTAATTTTCATTTCTTCTTCTTACTCTTTTTCATTAAATCTGTCTAATCTGTCCTTTTCAATTCTTTGTGGGTTTCCTTTTCCTTTCCCTGTTGATGTAGCCTTAAACACGGCGGCTTTGCTGCTCTGTTGATCCAACGGTTGATCCAAATGATCGCGAGAGGTCCATACGCATATATACAGCTTGATCGACCATGGAGTGGCTACTATTGATGTTGTTATTCAACATTTGTTCTATGTGTATATCATTGTATTTCATTGATTCAATTATTATTGTATTGTATTTTAATGGACGTTTATTTTTTACCCTTAAATAATTGTAAATCTAATTAATTTTAGCCTTGAGGCTGCTACTTTGAAGTGTTCTTCTTTTTTCAAATAATAATAGAATAATTATATTTGAATTTGCATTAATTTTCTTTTTCAAATACTTCCTCTTTGGCTCTCGATAAGTTGTCTATGTTTGAACACCGTAGTATATGTGCTAAAATCTTTTGATCTTGTGCACCATGCGTGCAAATCATATAATATCTAAGCAAAGCATTGCCACCTAGACATCACTCTCCTCGCCGCCTGATTCGAGAACAGTTCGGTCGTGGTTGCAGAACTGCTCTTGCTGTATAGGTTACTATCTGCCATATGAAGTCATGATGGATAGCTGTGTGGATGCTTAGTTTCCATCATTTAAAAGCTGCAGTACCTCAAAGAGAAAAAGGTAAGATATCACAACAGAGGAGGGATGTTGGGAACCTTTTTCAGCCACATTTTACCTCACCACAATGATAATTTCATGCATATGCAAACTTTAGGTTCATC